CCTGGCACCAACACCTCCCCACATTTAGTTTCGAGCAAATATTTCTTATCCTGACGTTTGGCATGCTGGTGAGGAGGGAGTAGGCGGCTCCTTCCGGAGAACCCCACCTCCCCGAGGCGGTGGCTAATAGCTGGGGGAAGTGATGGACGGTCAACGAGGCCACAGATCGCAGACCTTGTCAAGTCTGCCGGGACCTCACACACTCAGATGACCTCACACACTCAGATGACCTGAAAACAATCCATGCTTTTAAACTTCTTTTTCAATCTGAGCAACTATCTGATGTGGGAAAGAACCAGTTCTCTCTGAATCAAAATGTAACTATTCTCCTAACCCATCCAGCGCCAGGTACCATGAAAGAAAAGCCGGGCGATCTGGTTCCATTAAGATGATAGCCAGGAAAACCCGTGACTTCCTTCAGTCACCCAGCAGCTGTTTGCAGGGCACTCTGCAGCGTGTACGTGTGTTGCATGGCCACATGTATAGGAGGTGCATACGGAGAGATGAGGGAAGTGATTGTCTTTGAACTGGGTGTTCAGCTTGGGGTCCCCAGATGCCAGGGAGACTGGCAAGCCAGCGTGGTAGTGGCCTGCCCGAGACTGAGAGGAGAGGGAAGGCATTATCTCATGAGAAGGAGCTGCCGCAGCATTGACTCTGCAGAAGGGAGTGGGCGGATGAGCAACGTGTCTTAGCTCAGCCCTCTTCTGAGAAAGTACGGTGTTCCTGGCTAGAGATAGGATTAACTGTAATCATCAGCCCTCTGAGTGGGAATAATTATTAAAGGATTACGACTTTAGTTTTTGCTTCTATTTTGAGCACACAGAATAGCACCATCCAACTTCCCAAATGATCCCATCCAACTTCCCTCTCCCCCACCACCCCCACCCCCGCATCTTATCGCCCTGCTCTCAGGTAGCCCGGGTCTTAGTTTCTGGTCTAACTTTGACAATTGGCAATTAGGAACTTCCTGTGCCCTGAGACAGCGCTTGCAAAACTGTTCTTGCCGACTTTCCATCTGAGCTGTTCGAGCGGATCTAACCATTTTCTTTGCTTGTGTACTGTGGAGGTGGTGTGCGTTTGGTGTGTGTGCGCGTGCATGCAAATGCTCTTGTTTTACCTCTGGAGTGTATGATTGGCAAGTGGAAACTTGAGTGGAAAACAGGAAATGATAAAGACATAATCAGAGAGTGGAAGGGGAAGAGAGAGGAGGTGTATCGGGGTGGGGGACTGGTATCGGTGGTGTAGATAAGTATATGCAGGGCCACTAACCAGAATCATTGCACGTCCCTCGATCCTTGTTCTGTAGGAAGCCAACTCCCATACTTCCCACTTTGCTTGTTCTCTGTGGTTCCCCCCAACCCGCTTTCATTCCAAGCAAAAAGCAGAGACTATTGGATGGCCCTGGTGCCTCGTATCTTTTATTGAAGAAGCCTAAATGCTTAGCAAAGATGATGCCTCCCCCGGGAGGGGAGGGGGTTGGTAGGGAAAGATCCAAGGTGGGAAGGAGAGGGAGTGAAGCAGAGAGAAGCTGGTCGATTCTTTGGGAGGAAACAAGTGAGGAGCGAGCAGAGTTGGGTGAATCGGTGGCCCTGGGAACATTCACAGGCTTCAGGCCCGTTTCCTGGGTGCTGATAATGAGCCTCCAACCGGGATGCTGGTGCGCTAGAGTCAAGGTCTCAGCCTCACCGGATTTCCAATCATGCTTAGCAACCGAGATGAAAAAGCCCCTGGTTGGTTTGGGATCAAAAAAATACCGGACTATTGGAGTTGGCTTGGATGGAACCAATATGAATTTTCAACCCACGATTGAAACTTAAAACCAAACTCACTGCCATTGAGCTGATGCCTACTCAAAGCAACCCTATAGGACAGGATAGAACTGCTCCTGGGTTTCTAAGACTAACTCTTTATGGGATTAAAAAGCCCCATCTTTCTCCTGTGGGAGCAGATGGTGGTTTTGAACTGCCAGCCTGGCGGATTGCAGCCCAGTGTGTAAACCACTGTGCCACCAGGGTTCCAGCCCATGATTAAACAGGCAGCCGAATGTTCTGCACAGTGTACCACCCTAGGGGAGGCAGCCCCACAACAACTGGGTCTGAACCAATAGCCGGCCCAGAGGAAAGAAGCTCAAATCCACTGTAATTTGCTTTCAGATAGTAAAGAAACAGAGAACTCGCGTACACCCGTGTTTGTCGACCAGGGCTCAGGCTTGCTACTCAGACAGTGTAGTTGTCCGGTGTTGGTTCAGTCTTCTGGTCACGAAGCTTAGCTGTAGGGACACGGACTTAGAGGTGGCCCGAGCCTGGATCTTTGTCCGGGAATTGCCACCGAGGGAATCCCCAAGGCTGTGTCACATGGGAAAGGAGAAGCTGCTGAGCTTCGGGTGCCTCTGCTCTGCGGGGCTCAGCTCAGGGTGAGGGCAGGATGGCAGACCAGGGGAAGGCAGACAGCCCGGAGCGCTGGGCTCTTGGTTCCACTTTCACCCTCTTCATCGCCCTCGATGGGAGCCGTTGAGGTGGCGTTGAGGGCGGACATTGTAGCAGCATAAGCACATGCTTATTAGAAAGAGACCCTTGGCAATCTCAGAGATTTTTAATCCCTTTCGCGGAACTCTCAAAGGAGCCCAGATGGCGTAGTAGTGACGTGGTAGACTGCTACCTCCAAGGTCAACAGTTCAAATCTCCCAGTGGCTCGGAGGGGGAAACACAGGACTTTCCACTCCTGGTAACCAGTTAACAGCCTCGGAAACACATGGGGCCAGTTCTCCCCTAGCCCACAGGGTCGCTGTGAGTTGGAATTGACTCGATGGCAGGGAGGTTCCTTTGGGTTTGGGAGTGGGTCTCTCCCTACATGGAGTCCCAGTTGTGCTCAGCTGATAGCAGAAAGGCTGAGGGTTCGAGCCCACCAGCTGTAATGTCGGAGGCAATGTGACAGTCTGGGTCCACGATGATTCCTACAAACCCTATGGGGCGAGCAGTTCTCTCTCCTAGAGGGTCGCCAAGGCACAATGGATGGTGGTGGGTTTAGTCTTTGTAGAAGAGCTCTCCAAGCGGCCTGGTGATGCAACAGTTAAGCATCCAACCCCCAGTGTCTCCAAGGAGGAAGACCTGGCAGTCTGCTCCTACTCTGCCCCTTGGGGTCAGCATGAGTCAGCGACAACAGTGGCCCTCTGGTCACAAGGAGACCTCAAACTGTCTCTGGTTGTTGGTGCTCTCTCTTGACCCCATTGTCACCGTTCCTCTCAGGACCCTCCCCAGCTCCAGAAACGCACCCCCCCCCCCCCCCCCCCCCCGCCCAGAATGCCTTGACAAGGGATTTGTTGTCCTCTCCATTTCCCCAGGGATGGCAGACTGGCCTTAGGCGATGAGCTGCTGGTCATCAATGGTCACTTGCTGGTCGGGCTCTCCCACGAGGAAGCTGTGGCCATTCTCCGTTCAGCCACTGGGATGGTTCAGTTGGTGGTGGCCAGCAAGGTAGGTCATGTTTTGTTTGTCTTTAAGATTTTTTTTTAATGGTGGTGGTGGTGAATTTGGACCGAGCTTTGCCCACCCTGCCACCCTCCACACCCCACACCCCCATGTATACAATTGCCCATCTGCCTGAAGGCCTTTCAACAGCTGTGTTTCCTCAGCAGACATCCACACCGAGCAGTCAGTTGATTATTTGGTATTGCTCTCGGGGTCTTTATGGGGCCCGGAGGCACAGTTTGTCCTCAGCTACTAAGTGAAGAAAGGTGGCCCTTAGGGGCTACCCCGTGGCACCAGAGTAGGAGAGCTTGACAGTCTGCTTCTGTAAAGTCACAGCTGTGGAAAGCCCTGGGAGCGCAGTCCTACCATGGGTAGCAACAAGGTTTTTAGGGTTGTTATGAGTATATGTTGGGGGAGCCCTGGTGGCGTCGTGGTTACAAGTTGAGCTGCTAATTGCAAGGTCAGCAGTTCAAAACCACCACCCGCTCCACGGGAGAAAGACGGCCCTTTCTACGCCCATAAAGAGTTAGTCTCGGAAACTCGCAGGGTCACTTCTACGCTGCCCTAGAGGGTCACTGTGATCAGCATTGACTTGATGGCCGTGCGTTTGGCTCGGGTTTTACAGGTCTGTGTGAGGAAAGGGTAAGGGCACAGGAGATCTAGGGAGAGGTGAGTGGTAAGGTAGAGGACGGATGAGTAGATAATGTCAGCCGTCTTGTGGGGAAGCTGCGGAGATGTGGGAGTCTGCTGGGCACTGCGATGCCAACCACCCATGTTCTGAGGGACGAAAGGCTTGCAGGCTGGGCCGGGGGAGGCCTCAGGTTGGAGCTGATGCAGTGTTAGAGCTGGAGGAGTCTCTGTGAAGCTCCATGGTCCACCCTCTGGGCCCCTCCTTGCCACCCCATCTGACAAGTGATATTTGACATGTGACAAAGCGAGGTCGGCCTTCTGTGGCCAGTTCCCCAGCCTCCAAAGGCCAAGATGCCCTTACCAGCATGCGGACTGGAGCTCCCTGCGCCTGTCCCTGCACCTCGCTGCTGCCTCTTCTCCCCAGTTCTCTCTGCAGTGGGTCCTGAGGTCCCAGGGTTCGACTTCTTCTGCCACCCCCAAGGCGTGTGACAATAGGACCCCAAGAGCAACTCTTTCCCCTGGGTTCTGCCAGCCTGACTAGAGAATGGAGTCCCAGGCTGGCACCAGGGACTCACACGTCCTCCTGCTACCAGCAAAAGGAGAGCTCCAAGTTCACCAGAGGCACCTGGTGAGGTCCTGACCCTCGCTCGGCCTCTGACTGCCTCCTGGAGTGCAGTTGTGCTCTGAGACCCACGGGGTCCCCACGAGACGCGGTCAGCTCAGTGCAGCTGACGTTGATGTTATTTCTATGTAACCACTGGGGCGGGAGCAGAAGGAGGAGAGGCCCTTGCCGGTCTCTGATCATGTGTGTGTGCCAATAGTGAGACTAGGAAGGGGTCTGCATGACTGGGGAGGTGCCCAGCTGCCTGGTCCAACCCAGGCAGTGCCATCTCCCCACTCCCACGCTTCTGTGCCAGGAGACGCTGATGGTTCCTGTGCCGGCATCACACCCCGGACCGTGTTCTTGTCCGCTGGCTTCTTCCTGTGGCTTGCTCACATGGGAATCATTGTCACGGTCAATTCCAGCTCACACTCACACTCAGGCCAGCTCACACTCAGGCCAGCTCACACTCAGCACAGCAGGAGGAAGCCCCCGCCCCGTTAGAGCCCTGCACCATTATGTTAGAGCCTGCTGCTGCCGTCCCCGGACCCTTCCTTCTCAGTGGCATAGCGACAAACCACTGCAAAACCAACACATGAAACCCAGCGGGGCCCTTCGCGGGTAAGGCTACTGATGACGACGCACGCAGCGGATCTAAGATGTGCCCCAAACTGCGTCTCACACCCCAACCTCTCAGCGACAAAAGGACCCTAACACCTGTCTGGGGCTTTTCACGTTGTAGCTCATTTCATTCTTTCCAAAAAGAAAAGTCCCTGTGACGTTCTTTTCATTGGATGAAACCCAACGCTGAGTGGCTAATTAACCTGCTGCTCCAAGTCACACCCCCATACCTGACGGCCATACCCAGCCAAGCAAGATACCCGCCATGCCCGGAGCCAGGGGTGTTGGAAAGCGGTCTGTGCACCTGTGACCGGATTTGCCTCGGGCACACTGGCCGAGGTGCCCGTAGGACTGAGCAGCAGGCTGCCACCAAAGCATGAGTTTCTGCTCTAGTTCTCAGCCCATCGGCTGCCGGGCATCTGAGCCCGACTGCCGTCCTCTCGCAGACCCAGACCTCTCCCTTCTTCCAGTTTGCTGCATTTACAGCGAGACAGTACCCTTTGGCAGTTACTCAAGGCGCCCATCCTGTCTGAGAAACATGAGCCTTTCGGCACTTCTTGGCATCCCTTTCATTCTTTTACCTCCATGGGCAAGAAAGCGCCTGGCTTTGTTTCTAGCCCGGCCTGAGGGGGCAGGACAGCGAGGCAAGCCCTTGCTGATTCTAAGGACTAATGAACATGGAGAGGAGTTTTAGTCTGGGTACTAATCCTGCAGTCACAAAACCAGTACAAAAGAGGAAGCCCCCCATGGGATGGCTTGACACGGTGACTGCCACAGTGGGCTCAAACAGAAGAAGGATTCTGAGCCTGGCCCCCTTCATTCTCTTGTACATAGGGGCCGCAATGAGTCGGAACGCGGTCTCGTCAGCAGCTCACAACCTAATCGGATTAGAACAGGGAGTCCTCCGCAGTTCCGTGCTCAGCTGTGGACTGAAAGGTCCATGGTGCCACCCCACCAGGAGCTCCCCAGGAGAGCCGTGGCCGTCTGCTTCGGGAGAGATCAGTGCAGTTGTTGTCACGTGCCACTGCGTCCGTTAGGGCCGTGTTAACATCAGAATGAAGCGCTGCCAGTCCAAGACCGTCCTCACAGGGTCTCCACCCTGGCGGCTCCTCTGTTGTCCGGTACGTAGTGCATCGGGACCCTGCTGTGCTCTGTAAGGTTTTCACCGGCCATTGTTTTTAGAAGTGGTCCACCTCCTTCTCCTTCGTGGTCTTTCTTAGTCTGGAAGCTCCGCTGAAATCTGTTTGCCGTGGGTGGCTGAGTTAGTTAATTGTGCCAACCTGGCCAATAAGCACATGTGAGATTAATTGAAGGGCGGGGTGATAAATGGCTCAGTGAGTCTCGCCTTTCTAGTTCTCCGGTCTCTTGCTTTGTGATGGTCGCACCAGGGTGCAGCTGCCTTAGCAGTTCCCTGCTTCAGCTGGAAAGACTGACTTCCTGCAAGACATCCCCAAGGAGAAGCCACATGGACCTACCCCGATGCAGCTCTGGATGCTGGAGCAGCCGGGTGGAGACCCCTGCCAGCGCTGAGATGCTTACACATTCACTGACTAGGCTTTCCTCCTGTAGTCGGCATCATTGCGTGTGTTTTGTGAGATGGAGGAGGACTTTGTAGATTGGTGTTGGATATATGGGTTAATGGGTTAATGTTGGACTTGTGGGCTTGGGCAGCACTGGGTTGGATATTTTCTTGATGTGTACTTAATCTTTACATAAAACTCTCTCTTATACATGAGTTGCTGTGGATTTGTTTCTCTAAAGTCCCCAGACTAACAGTGGCCCTGCTGACACTGGACATTCTCATGGTGTAGCTTCCAGCAGCACACAAACCATCACAGTACAGCAAAGCAACAGAGGAGTGGTGGTCTTGGGAACCCTCCGAGGCAGTGCCCCTCTGTCCATGGGGTCTGCAGGACTCAGAATTGCGTGGACGTCACACAGTAAGAGCGTGAGAATTGGAGCAGTTACTTTCTTGTCTTGACGTGTCTTGGCTCTATGCAAATACGCTGTTCTTCTAAAGCGAGTGCTTCCTAAGCTCTCGTGGAATGAATGAACTGGGAAGGTCCGAGTGAGTTCTGCTCTCCCTAAGAACACATGCTTACACAAACAAACCCACCGCCATCAAGTCAGTTCTAACTCGTAGGGACCCTAAAGGACAGAGCAGATCTAACTGCTCCTTTGGGTTTCTGAAGCTGTTAGCCACGGCAGGTGCAGACATCCTCCTTTCTCCCCTTTTATTAAGAAGTAATGTATACATATATAGATAGTGCAGTGCTTCTGCATTGGACTGCAATTCGCATAGTTGGCAGTTTGAAACCACCAGCAGCTCCTTGGGAGAGAGGCTGGGCTCTCTACTACTGTAAACAGCACAGTCTCAGAACTCACAGTGGGGGGGGCATGGCTATGGGTCAGCTTGGACTCGATGGCAATGAGTATGTCCGTTTGTTTTTAATACATATTTATTGTGTTTAATGGAGAAACGCCTCTGAAAATACAGTAAAGAAAACTGATTGATTATTCTTGTGCTGTCCTTGAACTGGTATGTCATACACAGTTTAAAAAACAACTCGATTGGCAGATACTTCACATATCATACCATTCAGTAGTTGCGTCGGATTATCAAAGAGGCGTACAATCGGCAGCACAGTCCAGTTTAAAGCATCCTCTTCTTTCTTGTTCTCGTTGTGATTAGCGCCCCATCTGCTGCCAATTCCCCTGCCCTCCCCTCAGACATATTCATCCCGTCACGCTCTCTGTTGACTTAGCTGTCCGGATTGCGGGTCCGGAATGACTTACAGAGCACAAAGAAAATAAGTAAACAAAACCAAGAAAAGTTTCTATTGAAAACAGGGGAGAAAATATTAGCAGCTAGAGCAAATTTACAATGGGTCAGAAGGAAGATCCGATGATAAGGTGTTAAATTTTAACTTGACAACGACCGTAATAAACTACTTTCCAACTCAGTCCGTGTGATAGCCAGGCCATCCCTGGTCTCTGGTCGGAGGGACTCGCCACTTCTGCACAGTTTACTCGGCACCTGAGTTAATCCCTCAGCTTTTTGATTCTTTTACTCTTCTGCTAATGGCCTAGGAGAGCTGACATCACAACATAGAACTGACCTAGCGTTTTTGTTTAATAACTCTTTTTCTTTTCCTTAGTCAAAGCCTCAGAAAAATTCACCACCATTGAGTCAAATTTGACTCCAACTGACCTGGTAGGACAGGATAGAACTGCCCCAGTGGATTTCTGAGGCTGTAAATCTTTACAGGGGCAGAAAGCCCCAGGATGGCTGGTTCGAACTGTTGGCCTTGGGGTTCCCAACCCAACTCATCACCCACTCCACCACCAGGGCTCCTGAACCAAAGCCTAGCAGTATCGTAGTTACAATTCCTGATCTGAAAATGAATTCTCTTCAGGCGCCAACTAGTTAGCAAATGCCATTGGAATGGTGGTTTTTCACCAACCGTTGCTGACCATGCCCATGGAGTTGACTTTGATTCACAGCCACCCTATAGGACAGAGTAGAAGTGCCCATGGGGTTGTCAAAGTTGTAAGTCTTTATGGAAGCAGACTGCCACATGGCTTCCCTAACAGCCAGCCTTTCCTTAGCCACCAAACATTTAACCGTTGTACCGCCAGGGCTACTGCCGTTGTTTAAGGTGGGTATGTGGGGAGGGGGCTGCCCTGCTGACAGCTTTCTACCTGGGTCCTAACTGAAGAAGAATGAGGGAAGGAGGCATCTCTCTGTGTACTGGCCTTGAGGTCGTCCAATGCGCTGATGGGCTCTGGCCTTTCCCAGTGGCCCTGTGTGCTCCTCGTGGGCCTTGGGATTGATTGTCACATGACTCGTCTGAGCTTCGCCCCACACGCCACGCTGACTCCCTCATCTAGACATCGGAGCATCGGGCCACTTCAGTGAAGCCCCCTTTAGGGTCTCATCTTAATGGAATCTGACTCCTTGTGTTTCGTGTTCACCTTTAAAGCTCATTCGAGGTTCGGCTTTCATTGAAAAGGGCTTTTTCTGTCTCCACTTTGGCGTTTTGATTCACTAAACAATCTCATCTCTTTCCGGTGAACACATGCTGGTGAGATGCGCCGTGTCAGGTAGGGCACAGAAGGGGAGAGCTGAGGTCTGTGCTGGGCCTGGGAATTTGGAGATAAAGGGAAATGGCGCTAAGCTAGGGACTTCCCAGACAAGCAGGGGGGGCAGGCTAAAAAAGGTGCATGTCCGCTGCTGTGGGGAAAATGCAGTGACAAAGGGTGATTTGGGCAGGTCTGGAGAAGCAGGCAGTTCTCCAAAATAGGATGACGGGGAAGAGTGGCCAAGTCCAAGGCTGGGGGGTGGGAACTTCCCATGCATTCTGATGTTTGGAGATTTGAGTTGACCCAGAGCACCTCAGAAGAAAGGCCTGGAGATCTCCTCTAAGGTGCACGGTTCTGCTCCGGCACACCTGAGGCCACCTTGAGGCAGAGGGTTCCACTGGTGGGAAGGCAATGGGCTGGGTGCTCCTATTTGGAGGTCAGCCTGTCTGGGAGGCGTGGGTGGAGGGCAGAGTGGAAGGAGTTTGGAGGGCCAGGCGGAAGCCAATTATTGGATGGGCTAGCCTACCACTGTGGGGGGGCGGGGGGGACCTGCTTTCTGAAGGGAACAGGGAGGGCAACAAAGGGCCTGACGGTCAGAGGCTGCTCTTAGCAAGGTTGGTCTAAGAAACACAGCTTCTACAAGGGAAAAGGGGAAACGTCTGGCTCTCAATCCGGGCCATACCCCTGGCACGGAGCCCTGGGGTTGGGATGGGGTGGGTTATGTGTTGAGCTGCGAGCCACAAGGTCAGCAGTTTGAACCTACCGGCTGCTCCTCGGGAGAAAGATGAGGCTTTCTACCCCTGTGATGGTTTACATCCTTGGCAACCCCT